CGGACCGCGGGGCTGGACCTGAGACGCCTTCCCGGAGGCCGGCGAGCGGCGCGGCTCGGCCGCTCTCGCTTCCCCGCCCCTCAAGGTGAGCGCTTCCCGGGATTGAGCTGAGTCCCACAGGTATCCGCGGCCTGGGGGCGCACCCTTAACGATTGGGGACAGGATGTGGGGAGACAGGTGATGCCCCACAAACGTGCCACAAAGCTACGTCCTCTTCCTCCACGAGAGCTGCTTCGTGCATTCGGGAAGAACAGACTCAAGTCTTTCTACTGGGGGGCAGTGCTTTGAGCCACTTCGCGATGCACCGCCCCCACGTTCGAATTCAAGACACCCTTAAACGCTTGTAAAAATTCAGACCCTAGGGCTATTTGGGACCCCGAATCCAAAGCAGAAACCCGTTGTCCTAGAGTTGACTCCGATTCTTAGTGACCCTGTAGGACTGCCCCATAGGGGTTCCCCGAGGCTTCACTCTACAGGGCAGCTAACTGCCATGTTCTCCTCCTGCTGACCGCTGATCTTTGGGGTTGGTGACTGAGCGCTTTAGCCACTGCGCCACGGGGGCTCCTCTGAACCCAGCCACTGCAATTTTAACTCCAGGCCTACCTGATACTGCAAGGACGCCCCGCGGTGGGTGCGCCACTGTCAACACCACCCCAACTGCTGCCTAGTGGCGGTAACTACAGCCCGGTAACCACCCTTCAGGAATGATGCCATTTGCAGATAGGGTATTGAAAATAAAAAGTTGGTTTTTCCTTTTTTAAAATCATTTTGTTGGGGGCTCGTGCAACTCTTACCACTATCTATACATCCATCCATTGTGTCAAGCACATTTGTACATTTGTTGCCATCATCATTCTCAAAACATTGGCTTTCTACTTTAGCCCTTGGTATCAGGTTTTCATTTTTCCCTTCCCTCCCCACTTCCCCTTCTCTCATGAACCCTTGATAATTTATAAATTAGTATTATTTTGTCATATCTTACACTGTCCGACGTCTCCCTTCAC